TGTTGCAAGGACATTTTCGTCTTTTCACGTTTTACGTACCAGACACCGTGGAGTGTGCCGGGTTTGTCTGAGGGTGGTTTGGGGTGTTTCATTGAGTTTAGGACTCTTTGAAATGTAAGGTTTGTCATTTTTGCATTTTTCTGTTTTTCGGGCCGGACGGTCTCGTGTGGGACCCGCTACCGGAATTGTTGTATACAGGGATTTTAGTCGGGTCCATTTGCATCTCATGCATTTTATTTTTATATGTTTTATGTGGTATTTAAATGGTTATGTACACATATATTTTGTGGTGCAAAAGAAAAATCAAAAATGGATTTTAGTGGTGGGACCCACCACTAACTTTTATTTTAGTGGCCAAAAGGCCACATTTGGCCTCAAATTCTCTCTCTCCCGTAAGCTCACTCTCTCACCCTCTTCTTGTTCATTTTTCTTTTTCTTTTCAAGTAAATCTTCAAACTTCAATTACTTCTTCATTTCTTGAAATTTTTGGGTGCCGTTTGCGGCAAAAGAAAGAGCACGGCGAGATCTACACGTTGGTATAAGCAATTCACACTTTTGGCTTAAACCCATTTGGGGGTTTTTCTACAAAATTGAGGTAGGTGTTCCTAATGCATGATTTCTTGTTCTTTGGTGAATTATTTCTTCTTATATTGTTATTTAGCATGATCAATTTGTATAGAAGCTTAAAAATTTACTTGGATGTTGTATATGAAATGTGTAACAATGTGTATTAATTGTTTTCTATGAAAAGCATGCCTAAGTGTTAATTTTTCATGCCAATAGTGTTGTTAACTTGCTAGAATTGCTATATGAAAGCATGTTGTACTTTTCTTGGAAATTCTTGTAAAGTATGCTATGTAGTTTAACTTTGTATTAGTTATAAAATGATGATGCACATGGCATGATGCATTCATGCATAAGCATTAGGAAGGAAATGGGAATAATTTTATTTGAGATGAAAATGAGGCTTTAGGAAAAAGTTTTGACAAAGGGTTTTTGAGAAAACCCGGACACCGAGGAAGTACCGAGGGTCTGTGGTGTTAATGTAATCTAAAGGGAACTAGGGAAATCACCCTAGTGTGGTTGAGCTATCTGGGCCCCAAATGACGCCACGGAGGTACCAAGGGTCAGGGACAGTAGCCAATCCTTCTCTCGTGTTGTCGAGGAGTCACCGAGGGACAGGTTATATTAACGATTTGAAAAGTGATGGATGGTTTTAAAAATGGGGAGTGACATAGCACGGCATTACATTTCATAGCACCACATTGCTCATTTGGACTTGAAATTGATGTTGTATTTCCTCGGCATAGCATGATTCCATTCCCTATTATTTTATTCATTGTTTGGATTCATGGGGTCACAAGAGGTGTGTCTTAGGCACCACCTACTGAGCAATTTGCTCACCCCTTATATTTAATATTTTTTCAGGTCATGGGAAGGAGGTGGCGGATGACAATCCTCCACAAGCTTGAGGGGTGTTAGGAGTCCATTTTTGTTATCTTTTGTATCTTTAAGCCATCCTTTTGTGAAAGCTTCAACTTGAAATGTATTTGAGCTAACTAGTATGGCATTGTAATCCAAGTTTGAGCCTTAGCTCTATTTTGATGTAAAGTTGAGCAAATTGTAAAGACTAAGTACTACTTCTTATATGAATGGATTTGTTAATGTTGTATCACATCAAAATATTGATAATCATGACCACATTATGTAGTTTTACCATTTGAGGAGTTTTTAAAGCAAGTTTGAGATAGATTGTAACGTTTCCTATAGACCTCCATTCGTTTTTCAGGTTTTCAGCATATTGCAGTAGCAGGATTTCCACGCTGAGCCATTTCGGCCGGCCGAAATGCCTGTTTCGGCCGGCCGGTTCATTCAGAGACTTCAGTCACTGTTGAAGTCACAACCAACCGACTGAAATGCCTATTTCAGTCAACCGGTGCTGGGGAGGTTGCTTCGGCCGACTGAAGCGCTTCTGTCGGCCGAAGTGCTTCTGTCGGCCGAAGTGCATCTGTTCTGTTCGTTATGTTCTTTTTTCCGACATAATCTATCCTAAGCCTTGGTAAATTGCATTGAGCTTCTGTAAAGCATAATTATAACCTAAGAATGACGTTTTGACACTAGAAGTGGTGCAGATGGACTTAGGTGACCTCGGGTTCGGGTAAGGACCCGGTTAACTGTTCGAACCTCCAGGTTCGGGTCGTTACAGTCAATCTTGAAAAAGCAACAAGCTCCTCTCAACTGGTCAAACAAATCATTTATCCTTGGTAAAGGATACTTGTTCTCGATGGTGGCATGATTCAACTTTCAGTAATCGATGCACAACCTCAAAGAACCATCCTTCTTTTTAGCAAATAGGACCGGCATGGTGAAACACTAGGTCAGATGAAACCTTTCATCTTCAAATCGTAAAGCTGTTTCTTCAACTCATCTAATTCTACCGGTGCCATATGATACGGTGCCATAGAAATTAGCGTGGTACCAGGCATCAAATCAATGTCAAACTCAATCTCTCTTTTAGGAGGTAATCCCATCAAGTCTTTTGGAAAAACATCCAAGAAGTCATAAACAACTGCCGGATAAAACTCTTCCTAAAACATCTTCTTCTTCGGCTAAAAGACTAGCCAAGAAGAAGTCACAACGATCTCGCCCACTAATTCCGTAAAATACTGAAGTGTGGGAATCACTCTGATCTCTTACGAAAAAGAAACAATCTCCCTCGGGAGTACAAACTGTGACCCTTCCTCGAAAGCAATCAATCATAGCACGAAATGCAGCTAATCAGTCCATCCCGAGAATGATATCAAAGCTAGTAATTTCAAGGAAGATAAGGTCAAACATAAGTGTCCGTCCGGTTATAACGATAGTGCAATCCCTCACAACTTTACTCAAAGACAATGAACCTCCGACTAGCGTATCAACACACAACACCCGATGTTAGGCACAGAATGTTATACATTTTAGCTCCTTTACTTGCATGTTTTATTCTCTTAGTAGTAGTTTATTTGTGATTTTACATTGTTTTATTATTTTTATTTATTTCAGGACTTTAATTATAATATTAGTTATGACTAGTGATTTCGAGCTTTAAAAGATGACATTCCGTGGGACTGAGTAATAATGAAGATTAAAATTTAATTAGCTTATAAAAGAGTCCAAGAGAAGCCACAAGTTGATGAGAATGGAAAGAAGAAGAAAATGAAGAATCCTTCTCCAACTAGGAAACTTCCTCCGAAGTTGGTAACTTGAACCCATTTTGGTAAAATGTCTATATCTTTCTCCTAGAGTGTCAAAACAGCTAAATTCACGTACAAGTTGAAAGGAAATTCGAAGAGCTACAATTTTGTATTTCAAGAGGATTTCATAAAACAGCTTTTTACCTTGTCAAAACTGGGCTGGAAGTCTGCACGAATTTTGGAATCCTTGTTTGGCAGATTTTTCATATATGTCTTCCATGTCAAAAAGGAAACTTTAGGGCTAATCTTCTCTTATTTAAAGGGAGTTCTCTACATCATTAGAGCATCATAGAGAGGAACTTGAGGGTGAGATCAGAGGACAAGCATTCAAAAGTAAGAAGGGATCAATCCATGGCGGTGATGATGTCTTTCTCAATCATGAAGAATTCAACTCCAGTTATGCTTGGCTAAACGTTTTGCTAGAGTTGTGATGTAGCAATAGCTTAGCACCACTTGTTTGATTGTATTTAATTATTGGAGAACAATTATTATCATGCATGATTGTGTAATCTATAGGATTTTTAATTGAATTTTCAATAAGAATTGGTTTTAAGTTTTAATTCAATTACAAATATTTTTCTATCTTGTCTTAGATATTTGAATCTTGTCATTGAACACAACTCATTCCTTTCTTGTAGTTGTGAATGAGATGATTGCATAATGGTTTTTCTCTGAATATAATGTTAGAGATTTGATGGATTATGCCTAGAAAAAATAGACCATATTACACCCTAGAGTAAAGTGGTTAGGTAAATGGTTTATGCCAATCAAAGATAGTCCATGCTTAGCTTTAAATTATATTATCTTCTAGCTAAATTAATATGTGTTTGTAGCCATGATTAATTACTTATGCATGTTTTATATATATATATATATATATATATATATATATATATATATCTCCAATAAATTGATGCAATTGACTGGTGGTGCAACGTCAGTGGTGAAGTCACGCCCCTAGTTCTCTTTCTATATTCTACATCTTATTTGATCATTGTTCTTCCTTTTTTTTTTTCTTTTTTTTTTTCTACTTAGTTCATTTAAAATCAATCATCACAATTTGGTTATACTATTTTCAAGTTAATTGGGAATTTGAGAAATTTGTTGACAAACTTTATGAACACAAGTCCCTTGGGTACGACACCCTTACAAGTAAGCCCTATCATGAGATTAGAATCTAAACATGATTATCTCACTGATTATGTGTTGTTGCTGTCAACCAGTGTTCAGAAATGATTGTTAACTCAGTTTTGGTCTATTGAATCAACCAGTTTTTGGTTTACAGCAGAACTGAGTACTTGCTGAAAGTTTAATCTCTTCATTCTTGATTCTCTATGTCTAATCCTCCTCTGAGGAAGAACATTCAGTTGGTGCTAGATTAATGGATCAATGGTTTATGACTGTGCTTTGATGAAATCTCAGTTTTGTCCCTGAAGACTACCAATTCTGCATAATCAATGTTTGGTTGATGTTTGCTCTATTAATGTCACATTGAATGTCAAAAGTTTGAAGGGTACTCATTCTATATTGGAATTTGTCACAGGTCCTAGTGTGAGAGGTTAATGACAGAAATACAATTATTTGGCAGCATATATCAGCAGTGTATATTGACCTTTTAAGGCTGTAAAAAAAGGTGTTTTGCTGTGTAAAGTTAGGGCTATACAAGGGGCATATTGGTCCATTCATGATATTTAATGTCAGTATATTTCCCTATATATGGTTGGCTAATGAGGGAATATACTAATATATACTAGGGCAGCAAAATGAGAGTATAAAAGTGTTGTCAGCAGCAGCTGTGTGCACCTGAGACAGCCTATAATGAACTTTCGAGCTGAAAATGAAGAAGGTCTCGAGAGCTTAGATTTTTAGTAATTTCAGAGAGATTCATTGTTGATTTAAGCTGCATTTAATCTCTGATATCATCATGAAGAAGGTGCAAATTTAGTAGAGGTTACATGTTGTAGATTTCTGGTGCAAGAAGGAGGCTTGGAGGTTCAAAAATAGTTTTAGCTACTTCTGGGGGCTAAGCATGGTTGCATCTACACAACCAAAATCAAGCTGGTATCAATTCTCACATCTCAAACCTTCAATTTAGCTTGTTTTCTGGTTTATACTTCTGAGTTTATTATGAAATAATCTTGCTATACTATGCTTGTACATCATCTGAGCATGATTGTATTGAGAATTAGAAGCTGTTGAAGTTGACTCCAAACTAGAAAATTGGCTTGTTCCTGTTTTGACTTCATAAACCTCACAACCTAGGGTTTTGGGCTTAAAGAGCTGCTGTGTGTGTGAGCTGTGAATGCAATACCTGTGAGTAGTTACTAATATCTTCATCTGAGCATACATATTTTGATAATATATGACTGAGAGAACCAAGAATTGAGCTGTGCTATTGCAAAATTACAATTCTGTCCTTAAGAACAGTGCTGCTGCAGAAAATTGTTAAGTGCCTAATTTTGTGCTATATATAGATAACATCTTGCTATAAACTGTGAAGTGGATTTTTGAGCAAGAGTTAATTGTTAAATGGAAACTGTGAAAACTAAAATCAAGAAGGTCTAAATTCGGAATTATAGATTTGCCCCCCTTTTACCAGAAAGTTTAAGTGCAACAAATATACCTGCTATGAGCTACTTACTTGCAGTTTTATGAGTTGTTGTGGTGTGTTCTTGTTGATATAACTTATCCCTGCTACAAACCAAGTGTAATAAATTATTTTAAAGCAGAGGGAACCTTCGGTTGCTGGAAATTTGAATTATTATAAAGCTGTGTTTCGTATATGCTGGGAGCTAATACTGAAAAACTGAAACTACTGAAGTAAGCACTCATTGTTGATATCTTCTTGTTCTTTTGTTAACTATCATCTAAGCAAGTGCATTTGGTCTAATTAAGACTGGGGGAGTATTGTTTGGGGTGGTCCTAGAGGCTGAATTACCTCTGTTTAGCTAACAGAAGTGGCAACTTCTTCCATCCTTTGGGTATTCCTATTGATTCTAACAGAAGCGGAATATTATTTGCTAATGTGCACACATGCGCACAAATACACAGATACAATTCCAATACCAAAATCAATGGTTTTGTACCATTACATTTAGACTGCATCGTACTATTGTTTCGATCCACGTCTTATTCACTAATAATTATTGGTAATTAGATTTTTCTTATGGAGGAAAATTACTTTGAGCATCTGTGCAGGTTGTTCAGCCATGGATTAATAAGAGATGACTTGAACTTACAAAAATTGAATGTCTTATGGCAAGAATTTTGAAGCACATCCATTATGAAGTACTTGAAGCCAGAGGCCTCCTCACTCATGATGGAAGACCTAATCTAGATCACATAAAAAGGTTAATTTTTTTATATTTCATCTAGGTTTTTTCCTTGATTTTGGTGAATATTTTCTTGATATTATTTCTTATTACAAAAATTATTTTGGCAGTCCCTTTAAGCAGTTGGACAAAAGTAATGATGGACATATAGAGCAATCTGAACTAAAAAACCTGATTCAAAACATTAACTTCGGAATAGAACTGGACCATAATGGGGTGGTGGCAAAAGTGACGACGGAATTTGATGAAGATGGTAACCATATGATAGAAGAGAAAGAATTTGTGAATGGAATCAGGAAATGGATTAATGAGGCTTCCCGTGTGTCCGGATGCAAGGACTCAGAAAGGTTTATTGATGAATTTGATCAGGTAGTCGTTACAACAACTCATTTGTTACTGATTTAGTCATGTTTGAATTTACACAATTTTGTAGTTCCTAAGTTAATGAGTATGCCATTGAATTTTTTTTTCTTCTGAATGCTTGCAACGACCCTAAACTGATGCCATTTTTTAAAAAAAAATTGGCATGACCTCCCCTAAAAAGGGGACTACAACCACATGCTCAAATAAAAAAAAAAGCAATAGCCCTTTCTTGGCCTTTCAAAACACTTCCAACCTGTCCCAACACATAATACAATTAATATACGCTAACATCCCATCCATCCGTTCATTATACCTCAACATGGCTCATCTCATGGTGGAACATCTACATACTGTTTAATCCAAATTATCATAATTACAGTCCCAAAATACAGTTACAATAACAAGAGTTCACAAATCTCTATACCAAATATAACAAATTAAGATTTTACAAAAATATGAGACTTAATACAAAAATAGCAAAAAGAAGTCTTCTAACAACTTTCAATTTTAAGGTGGATTGTCATCCGCCGATTCTTTTTCAAGACCTGAAAAAAATATTAAGTATGTAGGGTGAGCTATACGCTCAGTAGGTGACACTTAAGACACGTCTCTTGTGTCCCTGTGAATCCAATCAAAGCATAGGACAATAGGAATGGGGATTATACAATGTTGGGAGAGCTTAACATAACAACAAGTCACATTATAAGCAATAGAATAATGTGGGATGCAATGCATGTCGATGTCACTCCCCATATTCAAAACCATCCATCTGTCGCTTTTCAAACTGTTAATGTAACCCCCTTTGGTAACCCCTCAGCGCCGAGAGAAGAATTGGCTACTATCCCTAGACCGTTGGTAACCCCGCAGCGTCATTGAGGGGCCCAGTTAGCTCAACCACGCTAAGGCGACTCCCTAGTTCCTTCTAGGTTACATTAACCTACCGGCCCTTTGGTAACCCCGCGGCGACCGGGTTTTCTCAAAACCATTTCATCAAAACACTTTTCCCAAAACTCCCCTTTTTGTTCCAAAACAATTTCTCCCATTTCATGCCCAATGTAGGTGCATGAGTGCATCAATACATGAATATATTCATCATTCCACAACCAACTCAATTTAAGTAGGTAAAGCATAATTTCACAAGAATTTCTCAAGTAATTTCAACATGCTTTCATACAACAATACATCTAGCATAATGAACATATATTAATCACCACATAGGCATGTTTCCACATAAAACATTTAATACAAGTTCTCACATAACCATATATACACATTCAAATCACTTTAAACTACAACTAGCACAAATAAGCATATCTTGCAACAATTTAGAAGATATAATTTACATGGGAGCAAGAAAATTATCGATTAAGAGCCCCTACCTCTTAAATGTGAAAAACCCTTGAAATAGGTTCCAAATTTTGAAATCCAAAGGGAAGCCCAAAGCTGAAATTGATGGTACTGATGCGTAGAGCTCGTCGTGCTCTCCGTTTTGCCTCAAACGACACTTAAATCCGGCAAGAATTGAGAAAGTCATCAAGCCTCAAAGATTGAAGTAAAAGAAGAAGAAGAAAAATGGAGTTTGAGAGAGTGAGAGAGTTACAAGCGGGGAGAGAGAAAAATCTGGTAAGAATGTGGTCTCTAGACCACTTTACACATCCAACTTTTTTTTCCCTTTTTCTTTTATCTCCAATATATACCTCATACACATACAAAATAGGTGCACCACCACACATAAATCATATAAAATAAAATATATGAAATGCAAATGGACCCAAGTTAAATCCGTACGCAAAAGTGAAATGACCAAAATACCCTTGCGGCAACAAAATTTTAAAAAAATAAAAAATGCTGAAAATCGAAAACGTCACAATGCTAGTTAATCTTCACTCCATGTTTTGTACAATTCAATTATTGCATCACAAAATCTTGCATTTGAATCTGCAGATTACTTCGAAACAGTGGAAAGAAATTGACTCATTGGTCTATGGGATGGAAAATAAGTAAGGCATCATTGATAAGTTTTTATCATGGGATTGCATGAAGGCGGTATTGCTAGTCATCGGCATTGCAATTGTAACTTTTCTTGCAGGGCCTCTGGTATATGCTGTCTATAAATTATCGGTTGCAGTTCGCATACCCACTTTCTTCATCTCTTTTGTGGTTATTCCTTTGGCCTTGAATGCTAGAGTGGCAGCATCAACCATCTTTCCTGCAACTTAAAAGAATTCGAAAATTGCTTCCTTGACATTTTCAGAGGTTTGTCTCTTAATTAGTTTCTTCTATTGCAATGATTTTTAGTTATTTTACAGATTTTCAATTTGGGAGAACTTGAGGCGTTCAATTTGTTGGTTTGCAGATCTATGGTGGAGTTGCTATAAACATGTAACGACCCGAACCCAAGGGTCCGAATCGCTAACCGGGTCCTTACCCGAACCCGAGGTCCACTAAAAACATTACTGTCCTTTCCTATATCAATACATAATATACGTGTCATCCCAGGGTTTATAATTAATAATAATAAGATGAGATTATAGCTACAAAATATGTCAAATAGTCCACTAACCCATCAAAACCTGTGGAGGAACGTCGTCCGCCACTTCCTTCCCGTTACCTGAAAAATGTTAAAATGATAGGGTGAGCTAAACACTCAGTAGAAAGTGTCTAAGACAGACCTCTTATGACCCCGTGAATCCACATAGAGAATAGAAAGCAAGAGAACGGGATTATATCTCGGGAGTCAAGTAAAACCACTGTATCATCAACAAACATACATATCTCAACCGTTTACCAAATGCACCACGTATGCCAATGATGTGCCATACCATGTAATGTCACTCTCAGTTTCTGAAACCATACCGTTTCAACTTTCAAACCGTTAGTGTAATCCGACCCAAGGCACCTCCAAGGCGTCACGAAAGGGGGATTGACTAACCATCCACGACCACAAGGCACCTCCAAGGTGTCGCATCCAGCCTGGTTAGCTCAACCACACGAGGGTCTCTCCCTAGTCCCCTCTCTAGACCACACTAACACCATGGACCACTAGGCGCCTCCTAAGGGTCCAGGTTTTCACAAACACTTTTCAAAAACTTTTCCCTAAAATAATTTCATTGGTTTAAAAAATATATATACTTTTCCCTTTTTTTCCCCAATAGATGCATAAATACTTCATGATTCCAAATGTCAAATTCAACAACCATATTCCATACATCTTACCCATATGATAATCACAACTTGTAAAAGAATATTTTAAACATTTACTTCTATGATTATGACATCAAATTTCCATGGCAATTGAAATACATAAAGTAAACAACTTGTCATTTCTAAGCATTCTTCTTCACTACAAGGATATAACTAAATTTACAAACTCATTTATCACATAGCATACATCCACCATTTTACATATAGTAAACCACAATCACATAGTCAAAATAACTGAAATTAAACATGCTTATAGTTAATTTAAGAAGGAAAATTCACATAGAACCTTAGAAATTGTGAATTAGAGCACCCCTACCTCAAAAGTAGCCAAAATACATCCCCGACCAGGAAAGTCAACGCCGGTCAACGTAGTCAATGCCGCTCAACGAAAGTCAAAGCCGGTCAACGGCTACGGAACAGAAAACTATTCTGTGGGAACATAGCCGTCAGTGAGGAGATTCTACCGTTCCAAAGGGTCAGCTTCGGAATCCGACTCTAAGTGGCCCAAAACCCCATCTGAAGCCTTAGATCCAAAAATTTCAAAAATTCATAAAATAATCATTGCTCCTCTGAAAAATAAACCCTTTGACTATGTGATAGAAAATGATGAGAGGAACGTTTTCTGTTAAGGAATCAGGACCGGAAACCCGACCAATTGGCCGAAAAATGGAGGAAAAACTGAAGCCTCCAAAAGGAGAAAAAAAAACAAAAAAAAACAAAAAAAAAAAAAAAAACAGAGGGAGAGAGTGACGACGCTGGGAGAGAGGAAGAGAATGATAGTTAGGCAAATGGCCTTACGGCCATTAAAGTGACTAATTAGTGGTGGGTCCCACAGCATAAAATAATATCTTTAACATTATATATATATATATATATTCATTAAACACTTTACCACCACACCTTAATTTAAACATAAAATCACACAAACATGTATCAAATAATAATGGGTGAAATGTCATGTGCCTAAAATAAAATTCTCATGCACAACAATTCCAGTAACAGGTCCCACCTGGGACCTCCCGGTCCAAAAAACAGAAAAATGTCAAAATAGCAACTGATGCATTTCTAAAAGTCCTCGATGTAATGCCCCAACCAACTCTCGAACACACTCGGCACACCCTACGATGTCGGGCATGCAAAACGAGAAAAGATGAAATTGCCCTCATAAAATAAGAAAAATCCAAGAAATTAAAAATATTACAATCTACCCTCCTTAAAGAGATTTCGTCCTCGAAATCTACCTCCTTAAAAAGGAGACTCACGCCACTAATCTTCCCAAGAAGACCTCACAAAACTCCAAGATCATGAACTCACCAACCTTATTGCCTTTGACACTGGACGTCATCAAGCAATCAGACACAACTACCACAAAACTCCAACGCTCATCACCTTACGAGGGCACTCATCACTCAAAAGATCGCAACGCAAAACCAACTGGTATGCTCTACATTATACATGACTCAAAACGGACATCAGTCTACTTTACACATTCACGAAATGCTCCAAAGCCCGAGAAAAAACAATCATCAGACCACCGAAAAGGACAACATCAAACCTCAACTCATCTTCCAAAGGACACGCAAAATCCTAGACAAGGAACCCTATCCATCACACAATCAAGCTCAAACTAAATCTACACATCTCTATCAAACCAACACTCATCATCTATCACACAGCTACACCATCACATACTAGTACAAGCGACCACCAACCGCACCATACGACAATCATTATACTAAACAACTTCAAAAAGACAAAACAACAGATTTCCCAACGACTGCATAATCATGAGTCACCAGGACAATAAAATGTACTTTCCTGTATCCTAGACACAAATCCTCAAAACGAGATTCTCAATAATCGATGATTGTACCACAAACCTGTTATCAGACACTTAGTCCTACCTA